AATCCCGAAAGTGGCTTGTATTGTTTATATTTCTCCTTTTAATTATCGCGCGTTTTTTTGCAAACATGAAGTTATTTAAATAATTCTGGCTATTATTTCCTACTTTTATCAGCTCAACTATTTTCCTCACTTCTTCTTTCGCTCTATCCATAAAACCCCTATTATCAGCGATCTCATAAGAGAGGAACCCGGGCTTTCTTGTTATCGATCTGTTCCGTATAACGAATCTTTTCCCTGACTTCTATTCATAGTCACTACGACGTCTTACACTAAACGCCCTTATGCGCGCAAAGCTGGCTCGCTCAGGTTGGTTGTTGTCGTCTTTCTCGTTGTTATTCAGTACCGAAAGACTTTGTGAAACTATGCAAAAACAGTTGCTGGTAGTATATGTTACTTAAGCAATGTTTAGCAGGTGGTTTTGATAGATTTGAATAATTCATTTGAGCCACTGGTGAGAAACTCGGCTGCTTAGGTAGGCATTAAACTCAGGTAAGCAAGAGGAAGGCTTTAGCACAGTCAACGCTCTAGACAGCTGAGCTACGAGGCCCAATCGCTGCAGTAGGGTGGGTAGTTAAGGTTAGGAGGGACATAACGGCTAGCGTACATGCAACGAACAGCCTTAGCAAGCAGTTAGCTTGCAATCGCTAGCCGCACTCGCGGCAGGCTATCGATCGGCCTACACGAGGCGAACACAGACTTGCATTTAATCAATCGATAATTTGAAATTCAAGCTACAGTCAGCCGTCGACTCACCAGCCAATCATGCCGGCAGGCAAGATAAAACAGAAGCTGATTGGCCGATGGACATAGTTTGCACCTGCTTGTTGCTCTAAGTATGTTGTTCCTATTACACTCAAAGACTTCTGCTTTCGCCCACTTCTTGCCGTGTTCCTCCTTGGGTTCCCACACAGGAGGAACTTAGGCGGTGAAAACTCGGCCTTAGCTACCGTTACAACAGTTTACTTGACCCAAGTGTAATTAAAATTTCGTGTCTCGGTGGAAGCTAGGGGGTTGGCTGTGCTTAAGTCGCTCAGTTGCCAGTGTGGGTTCGAATCCCACCGATCACGTGGGA